TTTTTCTCACCGGTGATGCCTCCGGACTGGAGACGCACTGGGACGCACCCGAACGTGAAAGGTGCAGCACTCTTAAACGGCCAAAGACTTCGAGGAAGCTCTGTGTACACAAAAATGAAAGAAAGTTGACGGTTTGGCGGCAGATTTGAGTTTAAAAACTATCAAAACCCAGAGATGGATCAATCGATCACACGGTTTCATTTTGCGGTTTAGCCAGAGCCATGAGGATGTGTGCAGCCCTGAGTCTCCTGTGTTTGTGGCTGTGCAGCGAGGCCGTCGTTTGTCAACTTCCCTGGGACAAAACAAAGACGACGTTTAGTCCTTATAATAAATCCGCCACCGTTGAAAGGAATGTGCACAGCCGGAGATGGCGCACAGTCAGCCAGGAGGACCGTGGGGGGACACGCAGTACGAGTGCAGAAGCCTCATGGCTGGTTCCTCTAAACTCCTCGTCGTCTGAGCTGCCAGAGAAAAAGATCACCAGGCGCTCTCTGCGTGAAGGTGGTGCCCAAAGTGGAACTCGGTCATTTTTACCAGAAGTTTTAGTTTTAGGCACGAAAGAAAATGATAAAGATGAGCCGAGCAATGAAGTGTCTAAACAAACCCAGCATGGACACAACTGCACGCGCAGGATGAGTGGACGCACACGAAGGCAAAGGCGGGTTGCCGTATCCGGCAGGGCGACGCACAGCGAACCGCTACCTGTGGCCATGGCGCAGGAGCTAGAAGCCGACCCCCCCTTCAGACTCAATACAAGTGACTATGAGGACGAGTACTCTCTCCCGGACTTTCCCGACACCACGCGGCTCGTTCCGGTGAACACGCGAACCAGACGCAAGCAGGTAAAGAATCCATTCTACCCGGTAACCGCGGAGTCGTACGGAGCCTACGCTGTACTGATAACCGCCGCCCTCATCTTTACAGTGGGCATCATTGGGAACGTGTCGATCATGTGTATTGTATGTCACAACTACTACATGAGGAGCATCTCCAACTCGTTGCTAGCCAGCCTCGCGCTCTGGGATTTCGTCATCATCTTCTTCTGCTTGCCGCTTGTGGTGTTTCATGAGCTCACCAAGAAATGGCTGCTGGGAGAGTTCTCATGCAGGATTATCCCCTATCTGGAGGTGAGAGGCAGGGTGGTGGGGTAGTGATGGTTTGGTAGTCCCTCATGGTGCAGCAGATATAATTGTAGCCGAGTTCATCTTACAGGTGAGACCATCGTGGTCAAGTGAACCTCTAAATTGTTTTGCGCATCTACACAAAGCGCTCTCCTTCGTTCTCCTCCTCAATACACAATAAATCCTCCAATGACTACCTGAGACTGGCTTCAAAAGTGAGTTAGTCCATATATCAGTTTTTATTCCAGGACCAGGTCCAGGACCTTTTCCCCCTAATCCCCAAGTTTCATTTTATCTTCTTTTCAATTTTGCTGGTAATGAGCTTTTTCATTCATGATTTCTTGAAATGTGACCTGCATCCACAATATATCTGTACAGAGTTCCTTCTCAGCCAGGTGCATAATTCCTGACATGTTAAAAGAACATTATTCTCAACTTCACGTGTTCAAAACATTAATCAAAAGTGGCTCTTCATAGTTGGCATGAAACTTTCAATACATTTCTCCACAGGCTCATCTACTCTACATCTGTGCTAAGTTTTATTTCAAAATTAAAGGTCAACTCTGCTCAAATTGAAAAACTTAAAGGGATGTAATAATGTCATGTTAAAAATGTACTAAACATCGTATATATGATAGTTGACATGAAATGTTCCTCTTGGAAACCCACACTGTGTGTGTAGAGTTTCATCTTAACCCACTGCATAATTTCAGGAGAAATAAAATTACATTTCTGGTCAAACCCAACATGCTCAATCGAATATAATATCACATTAAAAAATTACTCTACATATGTGCCACATCTAGTCTCTGCATGTTATGGAGGCCACACGTGAACTCAAGAACAGCTTTAGTGCTGGAGTTTCATCCAAAAACAAAATACTAAATCAAGTGGAGCCAGGAATATACATTCTAGGGAAAACTACGGGTAC